ATCATTTCTAATTTTTCATTTATTTTGTCATTTTGTTCTTGTATTATCTTTCAAAATTGTTCTAGGGTTTTCTCTATGTTTTCCTTGCTCTGTATCTCAATTCATTGAAGATACCTAAATATCATTCTTTTGAATTCCTTGTCAGGGAGTTGCAATGCTGCATCTTCCTCAGGGATGTGTTTTGGGTCTGTATCCTGGTCCCTTGTTTCTCCTGTTTTATCTTGCTTCTTTGTGTGAACTGTGATGCTCTGTTGTCTCTGAGGCATTGTGATGTTTTTGTGTTTGTATTTACTGCCTCCACCTCTTGCAGTACCCCAGAACACAAAGGAATAACCCCGTCTTCCCTCATGTCCCCCCATGTCCCAGGTACCCTGTACCTGCAGGCTGATCTGCATCCTCAGAGGCATCAGTGGGCAGACGCTCAGCCAAGAAGAGAAGCAGGTCCCGGAGGTCAGGCTCACTGGGGTATAGGAAGTTCTGGTAGCCAAGCTCCAAGGGATAGCCCAGGTCCTAGGGGTTGGGCAGGGAAGCACATCAGCCATGCAAGCAGGATCCTCCTATCCCAGGAGCCCTGGACCTAGACCACAAATGCACAAACTCTCTCACCAACCACCACCACCTTTGAAACATTTCCCTGGCTCCCCAAGGCCTCCAGGCCACTGAGGGAAGCCACAAAGTTATTATACATAGTTAATGCTATAGAAGGCAACCAATAAGATAAAGGTTCTGTCCTTTCTATGATTCAAAATCCAGACACCATAAAAGAGAAGATGGGTCTTTCTGAATACATAAAAAATGTAAATTTTAAAGAAAAAAATATAATAATCAAAGTCAAGAGAGTAATGACAAACTGAAGAAAAAATATTTAGAGCTCCCATCATAGGCGAAGAGCTAAACAATGTATTATGTAAAGAGTACCTAAAAATAAATAATAAAAAAGACCAGCAACACAACAGAAAGACAAGCAAAAGATATAAACAGAAAGTTCACAAAAAAGGAAATTAAAATGGCTCTTAAGCATATGAAATATGTATAACTTTGCTTACAAGAAAACAAAAAAATGCAAATTAAAAGTACACTGAGATTTTAAGGTAATGAAAATGTTCTCTAATTGACTGTAGTGATGTAGCACAACTCTGTAAATAGACTAAAAACTACTTGTATACTTTAAATGGATTAATTGTGTGGTATGTGGGCAACCTACGTCCATAATGATACTGCCTCAGAAACCCAAGGAGGGGTCACTATGAGTCTAATTGACTTGACAGCAGTGAGTATATGAATTGTATCTCAATAGAATTGTTACCAAAAAAAAAAAGCACACTGAGATACTTTAAACAAGTGATCAAACTTAGCATCACCAATCATGAGACAATCTGACATTATATACTTCTGATTATATATTCCTGATTATATACTAGGAAGAAGATAAAATCACTCAAGTGGTGGTCCTGTCAAAAATCTGAATCTAATCATGAAAAAACAATCAGACCAATTCAGATTGCAGGGCGCTCTGCAAAACAACTAGCCAGGACTCTTCAAAAATATCTGTCATAGACAACGAAGATGAACCCTTTTGCACATATCATATGACGTGCTCAGTGAAGGCAAACACGGGTACATGGATGGATAGATGGGTGGACAGGCTGAAATATTAGGTACCTATATGAAGTGGAGAGTGCACCCAAGAACATGTATAGGGTTGGCAGACAGTGGTCCAATAACTTTATGTGTATGATCTGAATTCCCAGGTGTATAAGGGGCTGACAAGGGGCAAGGTTTTAGTCACTGCTTGGCCACTGACAGCT